CTGAGGTCTTTCACATGATCCCACACAGACCATAAATTGTTCCCTGCACCAGCAAACAATGGTAGCTTCAACCTACACCATAAACCTTGAAACAGTTCTCTTTTTTAACTGTATTTGCACAAGTAAAAACAAACAAACAAACAAGCTGATCTGCTCAAATTTGTTGCTTAGAAAAAACAGTGAATTTTTAGTCATTTTCTTCAGTGGCAAAATGAACATGGCTACAGTAATTCCAGTTTCACATGCAAGGCAAGAAGTACTTGTTCTAGCTCCAAAATAATTAGGAACTGTCTGAAAGAAATGTGTCACTAGCAATGTGATGCACCTACAGCTTAATTGTACCAGGCACCATACATTTTGGGTGTATATTGGTATTTCTGCCTCAGAAAACTACAAATACAGTTCTTTGTATACTTCCATGCCAGCTTCTCTATGTCCAGTGTAGGCCAAAGTTGAAGAACTCTTGAGCCAGGTCTGTTTGCTCTCATGGCATCTACTCAGCAAATCCTTTGTGTCCTCTCTTCAGAGGTGCAGTGGTGACACAGCAGCTCAAGAATAACTGCTCAGGAGCAATGTGACTGCAGCAGTTCTTAGGCTGCCTGTAACAACATAACTGCAGTTTCACGTTATCACCCCAGCTGTGCCAGGATTTGATGAGCACCAGTAGTGTCACCAGTGAGCACATCTGTCACCCATTTTAACAGGCAACTCGGGGATCAGCTCTGTTTTCCCAAGGCAGCTGTGTGGGTGACACTCTTACCATAGAGAAACCCGTCCAGAACAGAGACTGGCACTACAGGAGGGGAAAATAAGCCTTCAACAAGCCACTGACCAAGGCTGATGAGCAGATGCCAGGACTGCTTGCTGCTAACCTGCAGAGCCCTTTTGGCCACAACCCGACTGTGAGACAGGCCATGAGCTTCATCCTGTACCATCCAGTACAGGGTACAAATAAACACAAGTTGATCAGTAGTGAGCCCAAGACCCAGCTACCTGGACTTTGTCACTCCCATTAAGGGGCTGAGTTTCCTACAGCACAGACACCACTCAGCTTGAATGCAAACAGGAATGCTGATTTCTGTAATCTACAGAGCACATCCAGGAAACAGCAATCACAAGTCAGTTAATAAGCTGGTGTAAAGCAACCAACCCCTTTAGTAGTCTATTAAAAGACAGTTTGGGTTCTGACTTAACAGTAAGTAAGACTTCTGTGCATTAATGAGCTTATCTAACTAAGCAGTTCAAGGTACATGGGCTGCTGAGTTTTCATCCAGGAAGAAACCAGGAGAGGTACTGAAGGCAAATCACCAACTGCAGCCATTTCTGCATTCCAGAAATCAGTATGATCTTGGACAAGTGACAGCAGTTGAAGCAGGAGAGGGATTAGTCAGGTGGCTCTGGCAAACTGGAGTTGTTGAGAAAACCCATCCTTTCAGCTAGCACTAGCCATTATCAGCCCGAGACTTAAGGCTCAAAACAATGCCATTACCCCACCAGCTAATCTGAGCACCTAAGCCTTGCTTAGTTGGCTGCATTAGCCACTTTCCAGGAGGCCATGGGCTGCACTTGGTTTGAAACAAGAGTAGCTGCAATCACTTCACCCTGGGGAAGACAGGCTGCATAATTTACTTAAGGGGCATACCCTGAGCTAAAGAGCTCCTGAGATAAACCCATCAGTTTCAGAGAAACTGTTCCTATTTTAAACACAATCCCATAAATCCCCATAACCAGTGGGCAGGAAGAAAAGCACGTTCCCTTACCAGGCTCTCCTCCTACAGCCCATTCTGCGTGCCATACTGCACGCAGCCAGTCTGAAGAGTAACAAGAGATAAATACTGACACAGGGAAACACAAGAAGCTCCCTTACTCCAGTAAAACATCACAGGTACAGCATTTAACACATCTCTCAGCAATACTTTGAGCCCAACCTGATGTGAACAGCTTCAACACTTTTTTCTACTTCCACCCATTCTACCAAAGCATTTCTAAAGTCAGTTTGAACTACTTGCTTTTCACTCTTGAGCTAGAAACCTGAACAGTGATTTGCTTCCTATGCATCTTCTAACAGAAGAGGTTCGAGGCACAGAGTGGAGTTTGAGTAAGAGCTTGTATTCTGCAGACCACTAATGGTCTAGGTGTCCTGATGTGTCAGCTTTTCTCTCACTACTCCTACTGGAGAGCAGATAACTGCATTTCACATCCTGTGCCTCTGCCTGCAAGCTTTTAGCTGAGCTGCTGACCTCCTGCCAAGATCAAAATAATACATGACTTGCCAGTAACTTTTGACTCAGTAGGTCACTCACTAAAGGAGAGAGCAGACTCTGCCTCGCAAACCAATTATATTTTGGCACCACAAGCCATCCCCCAGTTGGCCTCAGGAACAGCCTTTAAATACTCTAATGGTCTTCAGTAAAATAAGCTTAGAAAACCAGTGCAAGACACTGAGCTGCAAAAGACAGTCTTGACTTTACCTTTTTTGATGCAGGGATGAGGAAAGAAAAGTTTAACTAGGGTTACAGGAAGTTTCTTTATAAAGCCTGTTTTGTTTGGTGACTGTTGTTGTTCCATCAAAAAAAGGGAAAAAAAAGGAAAAAAAAAGGGAAAAAAAAGGGATCATACTGTTGTTCCATCAAAAAAAAAGGAAAAAAAAAAGGGAAAAAAAAGAGATCATATCAAACAATAATGCATGTCCAGTCCCCTGTTTTTCAAAGAACTCAAGATGTAACCCTTCACAGCCTCGGATCATATCAAACAATAATGCATGTCCACTCCCCTGTTTTTCAAAGAACTCAAGATGTAACCCTTCACAGCCTCAAGATTCAATTCTCCAAAAGCCAGGACTGTGCTCTTTTGGGAGGAGGAAGCAGCTGGCTGTGATACCTTCAAAGACACCCCAATGCTCTCTGGAACATGGCCACTCTGCAGCCCAAAGAACAGCAGGTATCTTTGTCACTAGATGTCAGTAACATGGCATTTCCCACAGAAGAGGAGTGATGCCTCCCTTCTGACAGGAAAAATATGGAAGCAGACAGTTTGGCAGCATCTCTTCAGGATTTGAGATTGTCCCTCCAAGCAAAACTCACAGGGACACACAGAACTTTTACTAGAGGGAAAAAACAGTAGCTACAGCTCTGACAGCATTCAAGTACATGTTGCCCAACCAAACACCACCACGAGCCCATGCAGAGTCAGAAGCCTGAAATACTGAGACTTCCAAGCCACAGAAGCCGTCCAGACTCACCTATCTGGGCAAGTTCCAGGCTCAGATTTTGGCAGCCTGAGGCTAAAACTCGATAGCAGCTTTGTCATACTAAAGCAAGAACAAAACAGATCGTGCACTCACACAGCTTATGGAGAGAAGACTACATCAAAAAGCAAGTCATTTCCCACTGGGGAGAGAAGTCAACTGCACTGGCTGATAAACACGGGCTGTGCTTCCTGCAGTTTTACTGAATCCAAAAACCTATTCTTGGTTAGAATGGATGTGGAAATGTATCCAGAAGAGCCGCTGGATAGGAGCCTGCTTTAAGCCTCAGAAGAAGCAGTTCGGCATCAGCAGCGCTGCGTTCTGCCTCAGCAGGTTTTCCGGGGAGGAAGCAGAGTGCAAGCCATGACCCAGCTAATTCACATTTGGATCAGCAGTACAGGCAAATAATTTTCGGTGAAGTTCCAGCCCGATCCACTGAAAAAACCTTTGCTCAGGCTGACCTGACGCATCGGTGCCGGCCTTCCTGTGCCACACACAGCCCGACCGTGTCCCCACCCTGCTCCGGTGCAGCACCGCAGGGCTGCCACACAGCTATTCCAGCCAGAGCGCTAATTAACAGCTGCTAATAACCCCCCTGAGCCACAAGCAATGCACGAATCAATGACGGGGTCGCCCAGCACCTCCCCAGAGGAAGCCGAGGAAAAGCCCTCCCGTGGGCCCCGCTCCTCTCCCTCCCTCCCGGCTCCGGGGGCACTCTCGCGTCCCTCCCGAGGGCAGCCGGCGGGACACCTCACCCTGCAGCCGCCTCCCCGCCGCGGGGCCTGCAGACCCCCACCCCCAACCCGCGCACCGGGAGCCGTCACCCGCAGCAGCTCGGCCACTGCGCGGGCGCGGCCGCAGAGCGAGCCCGGCCGCAGGAAGCCGCTCGGAGGAGGCACGGCGGCCGCGCAGCCAGGCGGGGAGCGGAGCGGAGCGGAGCGGAGCGCCTCACCTGCCGCC